TCTTGTGCTTACTCCCTTGCATACGGATGACAGCTGCGTATGAATTAATTTATTTTCTGTTGCTTCACTTACGGAGACAGTTGTAAGCACTGTGTGAACTGCCTCGAGGGTGCTTGACCATTTTAACACGACGTGGTGCGATCGTCCCCCTTGCGCGGAGTGAGGGTTCTCGACCCCGCACAACATGATCTACTCGACCACCATTATGGTTACCTCGAAAAAAAAAAAAAACGGTAACTTGGTTGCCGAGTTCACGAAGTGAATTGGCTTGTTTTACAACGTCGTTGCCAAGCGACGACAACCCAATCCCGATGGCAAACACCGAGGGGGGGACTGGTTTTACAACGTCGTTGCCAAGCGACGAAAACCCAACCCCGATGGCAAACACCGGGGGGGGGTCAGGGCGGGGGCAGAGTTCAAGTTCTTGTGTTTTGACAAAGTTGAACCCTCTGAGTTTGCGCTGCGATGGTGTTTTGTGCCGTGGTCTTTGAAGTGCGGGTGCTTTCGGTAGCGCAACTCTAATTTGTTTGTTTTGCCACCACCGCCGCCGCCTCCTGCAGCGACATGAACAAGGTGTGTCTGCCGGAGGACCTGATCAAGGCTTACGCCGCCCCGCACCCCAACGCGCCGGGAGTCACTCAGACGCAGAAGGTATTCTGCTTGGCGATGATGATGCGCCAGGACAAGATCGAGCCGTTCGAGGAGACTTACCGGTGAGGCTTCGCTTCACATCCGTTGATGTTGTTGGCGGTGGTGTGATTGTTTTTGTTGTTGTTGACAACAGTGGTTCTAGACTCTGCCCAGTTCCTGCAGCACGCACAGTCCCAAAGATTGTAGTGATATCCTGTAGGAAGCACTTATGAACGCACGCAGCGCAGCAGGAGGACACTGAAAATGGTTTAGCTTGCTGGGAGGAGCGTATCAATAGTCGCGAAGGAAACCAGTTCTTCCTAGTACAGTGGGTGGCCCGATATAGTGCCGGTTGAATAGTGCCGGTTGCCGGTATAGTGCCGGTGTTTTCGGCTCGCACACACCGGAATATCAAGTCTTTCTCTACTCTGAATAGTGCCGGTGCCCGGTATAGTGCCGCTTTGCTCTCTGAACACATACCGGCACTATAGAGGGCCCCCTACTGTAGTGTAACTGTCGTACAAAGAGCGCCCGTGCTTAAAGAAACCTCTAGGTTTCGCCGAGACTTTTAGGGTTCTAAGTTCCTCTTGTAGGCTACAAAATTCCGCTGTGTATGCATTTCCATGGTAAGCTTCAGTGGGGGGGTTCTTAACCTTGTTCACAATTGTGCTCAAAATTTTCTGCTACGGCATTGCGGTGGGCATGAAATTCCTTACTAGATTACTCGGGCGGGGTATCGTGTCGTGTCGCCCACCTGGCCGACGGCAACACGCTGCGGCAAGTAGAGGTTGGCGCTGTATCTCGAGTCACGACCGCTTGATCCTGACCGCGACCTCGCGTCCCCAGGGCGATCATGGGGCTTGCCTCGAAGGAGAAGCTGTGGCAAGTGAGCTTGCTGCTGGTGGAGCACCTCAAGCGGAACGGGCTGGTTCCGGGAAAGTTCGTCTACGATGAGATCTGCTCCGTGAGTTGATATATGCTTCTCATCTTATCCTCGTTGCCCCATGTTTGTGTCGTTGCCGCCAGAGCATTCTCACGGCTTTGGCCCAAGCATGACTGTTCGTCTGTGTTGATAATGACTGTTCGTCTGTGTTGATAATGACTGCTCGTCTGTGTTGATAGTGATTTGAAGCAGGAAGAACGTACGCAATTTGGACAGAACGGCCCTCAAGCTCGCTTGCCCCCTGAGTGCGAACGGTGTTTCACGATGAAATCGAATGGCCAGCAAGTTCCAACCATTTCGTAGAGCGAAGACGACAACAACGACAAAATCAACGAGAACTACATACACGGCAACATTTACCGACGCAGGTTCTCTTCAAGACCGGACATCCCGAGATGGCCACGATGATTTTCGAGGATGCCCTTGGCGGCAACATCGAAGAGCTCAACTCTTTCGCCCCTCCGGAGTTGGACCTGCACAATCACACCGTCAGCACGGCGCTGTGAGTTTGAGAGTCCGTGCTTTGGTTAGGATTGTACTTCCTACGTGTTTAGACCTTTTCCTGTCAATTCTTACTTTCAACAGCAAGATAAATTGATGATTTTTGGGGGAAACATCCATGTTTTGGTTCTTCTTCTGGGTTTTGTTTAGGCCTCTACCTGTCGATTCTCGCTTTGTTAGTCGTTTTTTATGTTCATTGTAACCCAACGAATTCCATCTCTATCCACAGCTTAAGGTTTTGCGTGTTCTCGTTGCTGATGAGGTGCGATGACACGATGAAGCATCCGTAGCTGCCTTGCCGCTCCGTGAGTTCTCTACCTCGTCATGGTCAGCGGCCTAGCACTCGGTGGCAGAGCGTTACACGCCGCACGCCGCACGCCTCATCCGACACTCCTCGGTGGCGCTCGTGGGAAAAATGCCCCCCCCCCCCCCCCCCCCCCCCCCCCCCCCCCCCCCCCCCCCCCCCCCCCCCCCCCCCCCCCCC